CAACGATATCTCTTGTCTTACATGCTGTTCTTGATCTCTGCCATTCCACCAGCAGGAGGTAGAGCTCTTTCCCTTACCCTTGGATCTGGCCAACTTATGTCTTGTTTGTAGCCAATAACACAGCTTGAAGATGTGGCTCAATGTGGCATCCAAGGCTAGGTCACATAGGTTATGCAGCTCCGCCTTGCTGGGTGGAATACTTAACTCTTGAAGACTTCAGCAGCCCTGTAAACAATTCAATAGCCCTGAGGCCACTGTACTATCAGGAAGCTCACATTAACTCAAGCTGAGAGACCACAGGGGTGGGTATTCAGGCTGCATAAAGAGAGTTGCTCAGCCAGCTCCCAGGTACTCTATCCCCCAGTGGCCTAAGTTCATATTACAGACCTCAAGTTAGAACCTTGCAGGCAAACCCTTCTCCAATTCCTGACCCACAGAATCTATGAGAGAATAAAATGCTCTTCTTTTAAGTCGCTGTTTGGAGTGGTTTCTTTTGTAACAATAGTAACTAGGCTGGGTGCGTGGCTCACGCCTGTAATCCTAGGACTCTGGGAAGCCGAGGCATGCGGATTGCTTGAGCTCAAGACCAGCCTGAAGAAAGTGAAACCCTGCCTTTACTAGAATAGAAAAATTAGCCAGGTGTTGTGGCGTGCGCCTGTAGTCCCAGCTACTTGCGAAGGTATTGTATGAAGATCACTTGAGCCTAAGAGTTTGAAGTTGCTGTGAGCTATGATGGTGCCATGGCACTCAATCCCCAGGGGACAAAGTGAGATGATGTCTCAAAAACAACCCCCCCCCCAAAAAAAAACAAAACCAAAGAAACCCCAAAAAACAATAGTAACTAGAACCTGGGCCAAGTGCTGTCCCACACTTTCTGTATCCTTTCTGCCTAGTTTCCACCTTTGTATCTGTGGATACACATCAGATCTTTGCTGAAGCTACAGTGTTTCAAAGTAGTCCCTCAACCCTGAAGTTAAGGTTTCATAATGTCATCTGTCTTTCCTTCCCGTGTTTATTGCTGCTGCATTTGGAGATTATTTGATCAGTGTCTGTCTTTCCCACTATTCATCAGCTTCACATACCCACATTGGGTCTACCCCTTTACACAGTAGGGCAAGCATTGCAAGCTCAAATGTCAACAGGAAGAGGAAAGTAACATAAATGATAGACATGGGCAGGGTGGGGGCTGCAGTGAAATTAAAAGAACATGCCCTACCCATAGGGCGCACCTGCTACCCAGCAGGTTCCGCGCAGCCAAATCTGCCTCTTGTTTTATTTTTTTCTGCCTCTTTTTTCAAAGGATGATACAAAGCCAGATTATTATGTGTTACAATGATGGTATCTACTGTAATTAAAACTAAAGAAGGAAAAAGATAAAACAGTCACAACCTGAAGATTTAACATTTTGAGAACTATCAACTTTGTGCAACCAAGGACTTGTGTTTAACCCAGACATAGGTTAGCCATAGGGGTCCCGGGGCTCAGCAGTGGGTCAGTTAGATTTGCTTTTCTCTATTGGTACCTAGAGACTGCCAAGTCAAATTCTCCTCCAAGGTCTTGACTCTTGCCAAGTAATTAAGGAATTATTTTTCTTTCCACAGATGGAAGTGAGAAACTATGACTGCTAAATATGTTACAATAAATTCTGTGTTCCTTCCCCCGCCCACCCCGAGACAGAGTCTCAAGCTGTCGCCCTGGGTAGAGTGCCATGGCGTCACAGCTCACAGCAACTTCAAACTCTTCAGCTTAAGTGATTCTCTTGCTTCAGCCTCCCAAGTTGCTGGGATTACATGCGCTCGCCACAGTGCCCAGCTATTTTTTGGTTGTAGTTGTCATTGTTGTTTGGCAGGCCTGGGCTGGATTCGAACCCATAATCTTCAGCGTATCTGGCTGGCGCCCTAGCCACTGAGCTACAGGCACTGAGCCTCTGTGTTCCCTTTCACAATATAAATTATATCTATTTGTATTGGGAACATGCAAAGCTCATCAAAGCCCTGTGAGAAGTCAATTTTTATCTAAAAATGATTTCTTATATTTAATGTTTCCACAAAAAAAAAAAAATAGAGGGATTGCCTCCTCAATGTATGGAAGCCAGAGAGAGAGAATTGTGACTGGAAGTCATAGGCCCATTACTTGACTCCACAAAGGTAATAATAGCAAAATCACCTTTGAAGAGAGATTGTCGGATTGTGCCCATGACCCAGCTTTGGATTTAGGGAAATCTCTCTGTGCTGGCTCCTTTGTACCAGAATGGCCTATGGGATCCACACTGCTTACAAGTTAAAAAGAGAAAACATCGGGGTGGCGCCTGTGGCTCAGTGAGTAGGGCGCTGGCCCATATACTGACGGTGGCAGGTTTAAACTCGGCCCCGGCCAAACTGCAACAAAAACATAGCTGGGCGTTGTGGTGGGCACCTGTAGTCCCAGCTACTTGGGAGGCTGAGGCAAGAGAATCGCCTAGGTCCAGGAGTTGGAGGTTGCTGTGAGCTGTGCGACGCCCTGGCATATTACTGAGGGTGATGTGGTGAGGCTCTGTCTCTACAAAAAAAAAAAAGAGAGAGAGAGAAAGAGAGAGAAAAGATCACTTTTAGCACAGGGTTGGAGAATATCTGAATGTTATTTGTCTTGGATGAGCGCTAAAAGGATGGTGAAATCCTTTGTTTTTGGTGTCCTGAAGTTTATTTTATTTTTACTTATTATTATTATTATTTTGAGACAGAGCCTCAAGCTATTCCCCTGGGTAGAGTGCCATGGTATCACAGCTCACAGCAACCTCCAACTCCTGGGCTCAAGCGATTCTCCTGCCTCTGCCTCCTAAGTAGCTGAGACTACAGGCGCCTGCCACAATGCCTGGCTATTTTTTGGTTGCAGCCATCATTGTTGTTTGGCGGCCCAGGCTGGATTCGAACCCACCAGCTCAGGTGTACGTGGCTGGCGCTTTAGCTGCTTGAACCACAGGTGCCGAGCCTTTATTTTTATTTTGTTATTTCATTTCATTTCATTTAAGACAGAGTCTCTGTCACCCTGGGTAGAGTGCCATGGCATTGTTGTTCACAGCAACCTCAAACTCTTGTGCTCAAGAGATCCTCTTGCCTCAGCCTCCCAAATAACTGGAACAAGAGGTGCTCACAAGGACAACTGGCTAGCTTTTTTCTATTTTTAGAAGAGACTTGTCTCACTCTTGCTCAGGCTGGTCTCAAACTCCTGTAAAAGTAGCATTTTGAATTGATGAAGAAAAGATAAATTTTATTCAGTAAATGGTTTGGGACAACAATAACAAGAATATAGCTTCTGGAGAGAAAAAAAGTTAAATATATATAAAGAAACATTCCAAATGGATCAAAGATTTAAATGGAAAAAGGAAACCATAAAAGTACCAGGAGAATCCCTGGAAATATTTTATCATCCCTCTCAAGTGGAAAAGACCCTTGAATTAAAAACCCGTAAAGGAAAAGTTCAATTTCATTTAACTTCAAGAAAATAAAAAATATAATCTGAGGCAGTAAAAAGACAAATGGCAGACTAGAAAAAGTTTGCATTTCTATCACAGGAAAGGCAAATTTCATAGCATTAAGAGCACCCATGACTAAAAAAATGATTAACAACCCAATGGAAAAATGGATAAAAGGGCCAGATACGGGGCGCACGCTTTAATCTCAGCACTTGGAACAACAGGTGCTCACAAGGAGGACTGCCTATCTTTTTTCTATTTTTAGAAGAGATGAATCTCGCTCTTGCTCAAGCTGATCTCAAACTCCTGAGCTCAAGCAATCCACCAGACTTGGCCGCTCAGTGCTGAAGTTACAGGCATAGGCCACAGGGCTGGGTTCGTTGTATTTTATAAGCACAACAAGGAGGCCTGGTCCAGAGAAAAGATACCTGGACATGCTCCAAAGCATTGTTTGGAGGGGCACCTTCAGCCACAATGTCTCATTAAGAGTTTATACAAAGTTAACTATATTTCCTTAGCAAAAAAGATTGAGAGATACTGAGATAGAGCAGGACAGAGAAGAAATTATTTTTTAAATAGTGGGTAAGATGTCCTGGAATGAGCAGGAGCTGTCTTGGAATGAGCTGTCCTGTGCACCTGAGGTTCCGTCACTCATTCTCAGTTTCCTGGCTCCTTCACAAGGCGTGCACCATTTTTTCCTGAGTGTTGTTCTAGCAGTGGTTCTCAACCTTCCTAATGCTGCGACCCTTTAATACCGTTCCTCATATTGTGGTGACCCCCAACCATAAAATTATTTTCTTTGCTACTTCATAATTACAATTCTGCTACTGTTATGAATCGTAATGCAAATATCTGATATGCAGGATGTGTTTTCATTGTTACAAAGGGGTCGCGACCCACAGGTTGAGAACCGATGCGAGGTTCAAGATTCTTCTCTCACCACCCTCTCCTCCAGCCAACCTTCCAGATAACATGGTAGAGCCGGGTGAACAAAATAGCAATCTGGCACGTCTTGCCTTTCATCTCACTGTAAGTTACTGGTTTTATTTATTGTATTTTAACCCCACTACAATGTAAGCTCCCCGGGGATAGTTCACCACTGTGTTCTCAGCACTTGGAGCAATGCCTTGCACACAAGCGTTTAACAAACACAGACTGTTTATTTACAGACGGAGAAAGAAACAATTGCGGGAAGCAAAGAAGGGAGAGACAGAGGCGGACAAGAAGAAAGACGGAAAGAAAGCAGGAAGAAGGAAGTGGGGAACGAAAGAAGGCAGGCGGGTTCTCCAAATTCCGCTTCGCGTCCACCCTGCAGCTGGCAACTCCCAGCCGAACTACAACTCCCAGCAGGTCCGGGGCCCAGGGTGGGCCGCGTCGGCCCAGGCGGGACCGGCCCCCGCCCGCCGGGCTCCCGGTGTGCCTTGCGCGCGCAGGCTTTGCCGCCGCAGAGCCCGCCGGGACTTGTGGTCCGGGCCGCGGGTAGGGGGGTGGGGCCGGGCATGGAGGCGGGCGGGGGCCGGGGGCGGGCGCCGGCCCCTCCCCCGTCACTTCCTGCCAGGCTGCGGGCGCCGGAGCGACTCTTCAGCGTTTGCGCCGGCGGCTGCCGCGTATCTCTCAGCTCCCCCTTCCTTTGAACCCCGGGCCCGGGGGCGCCCGCCTCTTCTGTGGCCACTCCGCCTCTTCTCTCCTTCTGTCCCTTCCTCCGCTTCCTTCTTCCTTCCTCCTTCCCTTCTTCGCCGCCGCCGCCCAGGACCGCCGGCCGGGGGACGAGCTCGGGGCAGCAGCCAGGTGAGGCGGCCGGGCCAGGCCGGGCCTGGCGGAACCCTCGCGGGCGCGGCGGCGGCAGAGAGGTGGGCGGCGGGTGGGGCCTAGGCCTCGGCGGGCCCGCGTGCCGGGCCACCTTCCCCCGGGCCGCTCCCGCCCGCGGGGCCTTCCCGGAGGAGGCGGGTCCTCTTGCGCCCTGCGCCTCAGGGCGCTCTGCGGCTTGGACCCCCGGCTACCCCTATTTCCTCCACCCCTTGCTAGGACCAGAAACAGGTGCCACGGCTGCCTTTCCTCCTGCATCGTGCGCTGTGTTGCCGAAGTTATTCCCAGGGCCGGGGGTTGGAGAGTCCTCGCTTTAAGTGCCTAAGATCCGGAGCATCCAAATTTCCCCAGCCTGGGTCTGTAGCATAGTGGTTACGGGCAGGTGTCCAACACGGGCGCAAATTCCGGCCTTGCCCCTTTAGGCAAGTCACTTAAAACTCTTTGTGTGTTGGTTGGCAAAAGGGGCTAATACCGTCCCTGCTTCTTAAGGTTGTTAAGGTTCGGTGAAATGGGGCGTGTAAAGCGCTTATCAGAATGCCAGACCCACAGAGTGTCCCAATAAACTGCCTGCATAATTTATTAGCGTGATATGAAGGTATAATTTAATGGGTAGAGTGGACAGAAGTTGACCTACCTACCCGCTTGGGTTTCCTTAAAGGCAGAAGAAATGTTCAGCGTGTCCATGGCCAGCGCCAGCGAATTGTTTTGGGTTAACATCTGAAAGGGGCGTACGCGTAATTGGGACACTGTGTAGTAGGCAGTTTGTAAAAGATGTTATTTCTTTCCATCTCCTCCGCTTAGCCAACTGCAGGGTATTCACCAGCTCCTGCAGTATGAGCAACCTGTCCGTTTTTTTTGCCATCATCCAGTTTCTTGTTGTCATTCCATTTCTGGTAAAGTTGCTGGCAGAAGCTTCCCTGGAGTTGAGCAAACCTTTCTGGAGCACTTGCTGTGTGTCAGGTTCAGGAAGGAGGGTGTATGAAGATGGAAACATTTGTCCTTTCTTACTCTGCATCTCTAACTTATTTCATTTCACTGAAGTTTTTCTTTATTCCCTCTGTCTCTAAAGACAGACTTTCTTTTTAAGCCCTTGCCCCACCTCTGTGTTGCAGTATTGCGTGTGTGGAACTTTTCTCGTTTCCGCGAAGATGTGTGCTTCAGTCTGTTCTGTGATTGTTCTCTGGCTGGGGGATGTTTTTTAAGGTCACAGTTCTCTTCAGCTTGTAGCTTTAATCGTTTAGGGTGAAAAGAGAATTAAACTAGGTTTTCGGTTAATTTTAGGCTTTCAGGAACCAGTGCTTACCAAATGTAAATTACATTGCTACTTGTTGGAGTAAAAACCCAAAAATACAGTTGGAGTGCAGAGGAACAGTTTTGATCATCCTGGTGACAGGTGGGGTTTTATTCAAGCATTATTGAGTTTCTTTTAATTTTATACATAGTTGGATAGGAGTATTCTTTATTAAGTAAATGCAATTAATGGATGTTCACGTTTATTAGAGTAAGGAATGTGCTTACTGAATGATCTACATAGGATTGTTTCAGGCAGTGAACTGAAAAGGGTTTGATTTACACCTATCTCTCAATAACACACAAGGCAAAGTGGCCTCCTTGTTTTTGACATTTTCCCAGAGTTTTATGGCAGAATCTTATGTCACTTCTAATTTAAAATCTTCATTTGAATGGCTTTTTTTGGGAATGGGTTTTTAAAAAGACCTAAACAAACAACTATGTAAGCACTAAAAAGAATATTTTCTCAGCCATAATACAAATTGCAAAAGTGCTCAGGAATGGCATTTTAATATTGCAGTAAAAAATCTCAAGGTTTTCTTTCTTTAACTTTGTATTCTGGAAAATATACAAAAATCGAATAGTATAGAGAAATCCATTTATTGGTCACTGAACTTCGACAATTATTAACTTCATAGCCAAGGTCAGTCTTGTTTAAGGTTTACCCCCTCCCCAAACTTGGACTATTTTGAAATAAATCCTAAGCATCATTATCACAATGTTAGCGATTTTTACTTTTACCAAATTGTTGTTAATTTGTCACAAAATTTACTTTGAGTAGAATCATAGTTCTCACTTTGTTGGGCTTTTCATCCCTGTTTATATGTGAAAACTGTATAGTAGAAAAAAAATAAGCCTAATTAGCTTTTGATTTAGTGCTTCCCCCTCCTCAAAGACAAATCAAAATACAAGCTGGGGTGTGTGTAGTCCAGCCACTCGGGAAGCTGAGGCGGGAAGGTGGCTTGAGCTCAGGAGGTTAGACCAGCCTGTAAATATTTTCACTCTAAAAAAGAATTAAAAATTTTTTCAGCCTTGCTTCTTTATATGCAAAAGCAGCAATTCTTGAGCTATTAATGACTATAATTGAAAAGCAATCAGAAATACAGATTTTCCTAATCCTATTTTAGTGGAGACCTACCTATTAAGCTACTTTAAATAGGGAACAGCTTTATGTTAAAGTTAAACGGCAGTTTAACAATTTCTAATGAAAACTTTCAAAGTTTCTTTACAGTAAGAAATATAAGGTAATATACTACCTTAGGTTAAGAATTAAGGAAAAGAAATTTGATTTTAAATCTTCTGTTTGTAGAATTGTTTTCTAGAGATCCTCCATCTGCTTTGTTTATAAATAACAAATTTAAGTATGAATGAAACCTTAATTGTGATAGTAGGAACTCACAGCATAGGTATTCATGTTTTTCTTTCTTGTCTAAAAAGAAACCTCTACCAGCATGGAAGTTGAGGGGAGTATTATGAATGTTTGTCATTGTTACCTAATTTTCAAATTTCTGGTCATGAAGTTTCTAGCTTTTAGACTTGTAACATTGTTATTTCAATTCTGTAGGTTTACTTTTGAGTTTGATCAGGTAGAGTGGCAACGTTATGTATTTTGTTTTAGTTATTATAACCTGGAAGAAGTGGAGAAGGATGTATCTCTTAAAATTAATTATGAAAACCCCAATTTGTGTCTAGGAAAGGACACAAAATATATTTTAAAAATGCCTACTGCTTTCCCTTAAGCTTAAAGTTAAACTTTTCAGCATTTGGAATTGTTACCTAAATATAGTTTCTTCAGAATAAGTTGCTTTCTTTTAAGATTCAGCCAGAAAGGCCATTTATATACAGATTACAGCAGATCCTTGAATAACGAGTCGCTAGAACGTTGATGAGAGAAAAATTGCTTCCTTGCCAGGGCTGCTGTCTGTGTGAAGTTTGCACATTCTCCCCACGAGTGCGTGGGTTTTCTCCTGGTACTCTGGCTTCCTCCTACATCCCAAAGATGTGCATGTTGGGTTCATTGGTGTGTGTAAGTAATCCCCGACTTTGTGAGTGTAGTGTGTGTGTGTGAGTGGATCCTGTTATGAGATTGGAGTCCTGTCCAGGGTGAGTTCCTGCCTTGTGCCCTGAGTTGCTGGCATAGGCTCTGGCCACTCCTTACCCTGAACTGGAATAAGTGGAGAAACTATTATCTTACTTGTTTTTATTAATCTTTCTTAAACGTGTATGTATTTCAGTGTTTAATATTTGAAACATTTTGTTCTTTATTAAGAAGTTTGGTGATTGACAGGGAGCAGTGGCTCATGCCTGTAATCCTAGTATTCTGAGAGGCCTAGGCGGGTGGATAGCTTGAGCTCATGAGTTTGAGACCAGCCTGAGCGAAAAGAAAACCCTGTCTCTACTAAAAATAAAAAAACTGAGGCAAAAGGATCACTTGAGCCCGAGTTGTAGGTTGAAGGTTGCTGTGAGCTGTGATGCCACGACACTCTACCCAGGGTGACAGCTTGAGACTCTGTCTCAAAAAAAGAAGTTTGGTGATGTTTTTTCTGGCCAGAAATATGCTGTAGGAACTTAACTCTTGTTTATATCAATTAGCTTATGGTAAAATTGGTTTCATGTTTGTTTGTTTTTTTGAGACAGAGTCTCACTTTGTCCCCCTGGGTAGAGTGCCATGGCGTCCTAACTTAGGCTTGTTTTGAACTCCTAAGCTCAAGCAATCCACCCTCCTCATCTTCCCAGAGTGCTAGGATTACAGGCATGAGCCACTTCCCCTGGCTGGTTTCATGCTGTTTTAACCAAAGTTGGAAGTTTCCAAGAACCTATTGATGTTAAGTGAGGATTTATTGTATTTTAAGTTAAGAAGTGAACATTACTCATGGAAGTTTCCTTCTCAGTTTTTTTTTTAAATCCTTGATGTCTTTAATGTCACCAAAATGTCTTTCTTACTTTTTTTATTAAATGATAACTATGTACATTAATGCAATTCTGGGGTACAGTGTGGTGTTTTCATATACAATTTGAAATATTTTCATCAAACTGGTTAGCATAGCCTTCATGTCATTTTCTTACTGTGTTAAGATGTTCATATTCTACTCTTAGAAAGATTCACTTGTACACTTGTAAGATAAACCATAGAAGTGATCCCTCCAATCAGCCTCCCTCCACCCATTCCCCCCTCCCCTCCTTCTCAGTTCTTAAGTCAAACCATTAATATTCTGAGTGTTACCATGAAACATTGAGACTGATAACTGTGCTCCTTTACAAGGTAGGTAATTGAACATAGGAGACACAAAGTAAGTCTCAATTTGTAGGGCAACTTTCTTAGAGCCCTGTTAGTGAATGGATGGAGTACCGGTAAGGATTCACCAGTACAAAGATGAAACTTTCAGGGGCAGGGCGTGGTGGTTCATACCTGTAATCTCAGCACTCTGGGAGGCTGAGGCAAGTGGATTGCCAGAACTCAGAGGTTTGAGACCAGCCTGAACCAGAGCGAGACCCCCGCCTCTAAAACTAGCTGGGCATTGTGGTGGGAGCCTGTAGTCCCAGTTACTTGGGAGGCTGAGGCAAGAGAATCCATTGAGCCCAAAAGTTAAAGGTTGCTGTGCTCTATGACACCTGCCACTCTACTGAGGGTGACAAAGTGAGACTCTGTCTCCAAAAAAAAAAAAAGATGAAAAAGTTATCTTTTGTGGATT